AATTCAGGAAATCACATTGTATGATTTTTAAAGATTTTTTTTGTATTGCACTGTTGCACATAAGTATTTGAACACCTGAGAAAATCAGTGTTAATATTTGGTACAGAAGCCTTTGTTTGCAATTACAGAGGTCAAACGTTTCCTGTCATTGCTGACCAGGTTTCCACAAACTGCAACAGGGATTTTGGCCCACTCCTCCACACAGATCTTCTCTAGATCTGTCAGGTTTCAGGGCTCTCGCTGAACGACATCAGCGGACCGGGGGGTGGCTTACTGGGCTTAAGCCCGGGTTGTTTTTCAGAATCTTTTGGGTCTTTTGGAGTGTAATTTGTTAGTTAGATGCCTGACTGACAACTGTACAAAACAAAAACTACACACAATATTCGTAGCACATAGCGCACAGTCGTAAATCCCCCCTAATTTTGGTATGATCCGAGCTCAGGCATTTGGCGACTGAGCACAGCACATGTGAGCGAGGGGGGAGAAGCTGCTGCCTGCGAGTTTGCTGTAGGAGAAGTGCAGACATGCAAACAGAGGAGAGCTTAAGCTTGAGCAGGTACCAAAGCAAATCATTCGTACTGTACAAATAATGTAAATATGACGGTGTATCACAAAAGATTAATATCAAACTGATCACTTGACCCATATTACGTTACTTGAACTTCGAGTGAATCAATAAATGGCGAAATGAAAAGCCGAACAACAAAGCTGTTTTTTTAGAGAGTCTTAGCTTACATGTGTGTTTATTTCAGTTGTTACCCTCCACGGCTAAACAAAGCACTCGAAATCAGTTTCAGTTATGTACTGATGAACACAACAATGGAGAACAGGGGCTTCTTTCAAAGAAAAACCTCAGGTAAATGTTATTTTATATATTATGCTTTGTATGTTGTTCAATATATTTCTATGCAAAACGAGGAATTTCAATGCACAGCAGTATATTCACAGTTGAAACCAGATATTTACATACACTTTAGGGAAAAAACTGTTAAACATCAATTTAGAGGAAACCCGTTTTGTTTTAGATAAATAAATATTGAAATACCTTTTAAATTAGTTAAATGTCAGAATAAAGAGAGAGAGCTGTCTCTTTTTTATCACCCCAGTATATATACACTAAGTTTATTGTGTCTTTAATTAATAAGAAAACTCCAGATGATTCCATTCTGAGCTGAAGAAGCTTCTGATAGGTTAGTAGAGTCCATGTGAGTAAATTGGTGGCACACCTGTGGATGCATAAAAGGCAAAACACAGAGCCTGTTTCTTTGACATGGGAAAATCAAGTGATATCAACCAAAACACCAGGAAAAGAATTGTGGCCCTCCATAAGTGTGGCTGAATTTTGAATACAATTTGGGTCCATTTGCAATTAAGAAATACAGACAATTTCTCTCTTTACTCTTAAATTTAACAAATATGGTTTTTATATTTATATTTTATCAATAAAAAACAGTCTGATTTGATGTTTTACAATTAAAAAAGTGTTTGTGTTTTTATCTGAAGAGTTT